TGACTTGCCCACTACACGGTCTATGCATGTGACGAAATTGCACGTGTACCCCATAAACGTGTACAAATAAAAAGAAAAAAATAAATAAAAATTTAAAAAATAAATAAGCTCACATTAAGCCACTCTGTAACAAGGCACTCTGCAGAGAGGCCCCAGGCTAGGTAAACCTCTTCTGTCATCCTCTCCCCACCTTAACCCATCCCATGGTCCCCAAACTCACCTGAATAACATCAGTGTCTTCTGTTTGGGAACGACTTGTTAACATACTGTAGACAGCTGCCAATCACAGCTGGAGAAATCATCTGTTGTGTCCTTCAGTGACCTTTTTATGAGGAGCCACATAAATTCTCTTTTGAATTTAGTGGTCAAAAAATATTTTTTTCTGTTGACAAATTGCTGTACTTCCTGCGACCTTATGGTGACATTGTACAAGTTTCCATTTTTATCTTGGCTACTAGGAAGCTCAGAGATAAATCTAGTACTCAATGGCAGTAGCAGTCCCACCTTAAGCTTTGGTTCAATAATCTGTCTCTCCTAAATTGTGTAGAGTTACACTTTTTGAGTCTTGAAGTGCACCATATATGATTTAATATCGTAAGCCTGCTCAAATCTTTTTGGAAGTCAGTTCTTCTTTGGAACATTCTTGACTTTCTCCAAATCTTCATCTATTGAAATCCTCCCTGCTCTTTAAAGTTCAACTCATTATCCTGCTGCTCAATTGTTATAAACAGGTTGCTTTTTCTATGAACATACTAGCACCCACATACACACATATATTCATTTACAAGAGTGGTTTAGTATTGTACATGTTTTGCAGTTGCTTTTTTTCACCCAGTATCTTAGCAATCTTTGCATGGCTCCTACTGTCTTTGCTACTCTCGAATAGCTTCTCTTTTTTCCTTTCACTTTTTTTATTGTGGTAAAATACACATAAATTTTACCATCTTAAACATTTGTTGAGTGTACAGTTCAGTGGTATTAAATATTTATAATGTTGTACAACCAGCACCATCATCCATCTCCATAACTCTTTTCATCTGAAACTCTATACCTATTGACCAATGACTTCCTATTCCCCTCTTGCCCCTTTTGTAGTACCAAAAAAATGAATGTAAAGTATCTCACTGATAATTTTTATATTTATTACATGTTAATCATTTGGACTTATTAGGTGAAATAAATGCATTTCAAAATTAATTCACTTGTTTTTACTTTTAAAAACACAGCTGTAGAAAACTTCAAATTATGCACGTGGCTTACGTGACATTTCTGGGTCTAGTGAACATGAGAATGGACATTTCTGATGCCCACTCCACACCAGGGAGTGCACACGATTCTCTCAATTTAGGGGGACAGTCACAGTTCACACAAATTTGACTCTTGCCAGTATATCACTTTTTAAAATCACACTTTATTGTACAAAGATGGAATGAATGGGAATTCCCTATTTTAAAAGTTAACTTCTCCCACGGCACTCACTCTAGCCAGGGCAACAGAGTGAGACTCTGTCTCAAAAAAAAAAAAAAAAAAAGTTAACTTCTCCAGTGTGGCAGTATCTCTAAGCCTGTGGGCCAAAGACATTGCATGCAAACTGTGCTTGCTTGCTGCTCCACGGTAGTGGGACGTTTGCTAGTAAATAGAAATGGTTGTGGTTGTTTCTGTAGTGCTTCCTGTGTGCTGGGCACTTTTACATCCATCGGCTCACTCTTGCCCACCACCACTCTGGAGATAGAACCCCCATCATCCTTTCTCAGAGGTGGCCTTGGACTGTGAATGACCACAAGGCCTTCTGTGATCTATCCCTCATGAATATGCAAATTTTCTATCATGACTACCATGAATATGCAAATTAATAATGCAAATGATACTTAATAGGTGCTCAATATACATGGGATCAAGAATCATGATGCTCACAGCTGCAGATCAGTGGCTGCTCAGAGAGATGGAGGGAGATGCCCTACCTCACACAGCAGTGCTCTCCCCAGAACATCCTTAAGTTGAACAAAATGTATGAAATGTGGTATCATTTTATGTCATACAGAACCACGAAGGTGCTGTTTAATTTCCCAGACTTGTAATACATACTTATCACAAATCAAAGAAAGATGTTGGCTTCAGTTTTAAATGTACACGAGTACATTATAAAACAGTGATTAATTGTGATAATTTTTCAAATTAATGATGTAGCACTCCCAGAGTCTGAACGTGTCCCTTCCTTACTTTACTCACAAAAGGCAAATGAAGCAAAACTGCTCAAGTCTTGAGGTGATAAATCTTTCCCAGTTCCCACCAGGACAGACAAATCTCTGCAAATAAAAGGAATCTTTTTTCCTTTTTAAAAAAGTAACTGCCCTAAGCCTAGGAATTTGGGACTTTTTTTTCCTTAAACCACAAACACATGTTTATTTTAACAAGAGAAGTATAACTGGGTTCTGACTGCCTTAGAAGAACATGGCAATTGTGCAGAGAC